GGTCAGAATCAAACGCGCAACAGTTCCAGTCAAAGCGACCATGTTGTGAACCGTCCTAGCTTCCGCTCAATCTTCAGCCGAGACCCTTAGTAGTAGTAGTAGTAGTAGTTGTAGTAGTAGTAGTAATAGTAGGAGCAGGAGCATTTGTTTCGTTGGTTTGGGATTTCGTCTGGGATTTTGGTTTTTGTTTTTTTTGGTTCTTTGGGTTTCAGTAACAGGGTTGTATCTCCCGAGAACCAGAATGTCTATAACATTAAACATTACATTGCACTGGTTCAAGTTTCAAACGATGCCTAGCCTTGTTTGAAAATTTACAAACTATTTAGTGCCCATCCTTCAAGGGTTTCAAGGAATTCTTTTACTTTCAGATTTTTCCTAATTCTTTCCATAATCTCAGAATTTGGAGGTGGTACGTCATGAACGTATGCTCCACCATGATCCACTTCTTTCATGACTTTACGGCTTTCAAGCACAGGAAAGCTTTCATGCCTTTATCTCCTTAAGTCACCGCAAATCTTATATTTGGATTGTTAGTCTCTACGTGCATTAATAGCAGCACGGAGTTTAATGAAGTGCCAGTCGGCTTACAATTAAGCCAGACGCATGCCCAAGAACACAACCTGGACTGACTGAGTAGAACTAGGTGGAAAGGAAAACAAGAATTTGAACAAGCGAAAAGCGTGCGATTTGCTTACCGTTCCTCCACTAATCTAAGTTTCTTAGACCGGTTGTAGACCGTTAGACAACCGGTGTCTATTCGTAGAAGTAGCAAAACGCAGGCGCCGTTTGCCGACCTCTTAACCTGCTGCCTGATACATCTGGCAGGGATGTTCAGAAGATGTCTTTGGATATCTAAGAGGATACGTGCAGTGATGGCGATGGTGATGCTGATGATGCAAAGCACAACCGCTGCCAATAAGACGGGCAGCAATAGAACGAAGAACAGCACCACCAATAACATCAACACCACCAAGAAGATGCACATGGAACTTCAGCTTTGTTCTATGTTTCAAGGTCACAAACCACTTAAACCCCACAGCCTGCATCACGAACCCTAAAAAGCTAAAGCCTTTAACAACTTAACCCGAAACACCCTGTTGGACCTTCTTCGATGAGCCCCAGCAGAAGCGAGGCAGAGGTCTTTTCCGTGCCGTCTGGTGCGGCATCCGCGAAGGCGGGGGGGCGGCGGGGCAGAGAACCCTGGCTTAGGGTTTAGGGTTTAGGGTTTAGTGCCCGTAGTTCTCATCCCATCGTTGCGGTCTTCGGGCTTTACTGGTTTAGGCTTGAGGCTTGAGGGCTTTAGGGTTTTACGCAGCGCAGGTTCAGTTTTCGTGGTTTTGCCGGCTCTCGAGTTGATCCCAAAGCCGCTAGGTCTCATCAGCCGGATGAGCGGGAATGCCAGGTAAGGCCACAGCATGCACTTGCGCTGAAGAGATAAGGGCTCATTGTACTATAATGAGGAACCCCCCCAGAACCGTATTCTAATCATTCAGGCCCTTATTTTAGATTCCCTAAACCCTAAACCCTAAACCCTAAACCCTAAACCCTAAACCCTAAACCCTAAACCCTATCAAGGACATCCCTAGTTAATATAGGGGTGTTAAGAATTCGAACGGGGTTTTGGGGGGCCTACTATCGTATAGTCATACTGAGGAGGAGCCTGAAGGAACAGTATTGTTAAGCACTCAGGCCCCTGTATTGCACCGACACCCCTAAACCTTATGATAGGCAGCCATGCGCTCGGGGTTCACCCACTGCATCTGCATGTTTACCGAAACTGCTCCTCGAAGACCCCCTTTACGGAGTTCGTGCTGCCGGTTGGATCGGAAACTCTAGAACCCAGGCCCTAAACCCTCAACTTCAATCCCAAAAAAGAGCCGGGGCCAGAGTCCGCTTGCAAGCCCTTGGCTGTCTCTAGCTGACCCACTGCAGGACTCCGTGTCCCAGCGCTTCCTGCTTCCCGAAGGGGCAGGTGCTACTTCGCAAGAGGTCGTAGAAGACCTCCCAGTTTCCTAACACCTACGTTCCCGTCGCAGCTGGGAGGGGTCGAAGACCAGGGACCCGGTCCTTCGCGACACATGTGGCGGTCCTTGACCGAAGCTCTCATGCTGCACCTATATATCATGATACAAGCGAATAGCCAGAGAGCCCAACCGCCCAAGACAGATCTACAGTAGCACACTTTAGACATAGACATCGACATATCCGCCCCCCGTATCCTTAAATCCTAAACCCCGACCCCAAACCCTAAACCTTCAACCCAAAACCCTAAACCCTAAACCCTAAACCCTAAACCCAAAGCCCTACACCCAAATCCAGAAATTAAGGGTGGGCTCTCTTGGTCGGACGAAGCTCGAAGAAGAGCCATCTGGGCGTTTCCCGGGTTTCGATACATTCCAAAGCCCCGCCCGACACTCCCCTACTCCCCCCCCCCACTACTAATATCGGCGCCATGAGTGTTAGTACTAGTACTCGCATTTGTATTAATATTAGTATTGGCATTAGCATTAGCATTAGTGTTAGTAGCAGCATTCGTATCAGTAATTATTAGTATTAGTATTGGCCTTCATACTAATATTCGTTCTAGTCTTATTCTCATTTGACGATTACTCCCAATCATTCTTACTATGATCGTGATAACTTTTTTAAAATGTTGTTATGGTTACCATTACAAAACGCTAAGTCCAAAGCCCACAGCCGGCTCGGGCTCAAGCCTACAGAAGCAGAAAGCAACGGAACCAAGAAACCCTGTACACAGGATGTATTGACAGGGGTAGCTGCGCCTGCACAGCCTACCGAGCACCATCCCCAGTGGCTTCAACCGGAGCCTATTTTCGACATCTTCACTTAAATGTAATTGAAGTGGCGCTCATGCTGTGTCACTGTCCATGGATGTGTCTGCATGTCTACATGCATTTACATCAGTTTCTGTGTGTGCGTGCTGGGTTCAATGAATATATGAATAAAGTTACGTTTGCATGTTTGTGCTCATCATGCAGGTGTGCAGGTACAAAAATGTGCCTGCCCGCGGGCTGCCTAGCTGCCTTCTACGCTTTGCCTGCCTGCTGGCTGCATACCTGCATGTATGTTTGTCTTTATGTGTGTGTGTGTGTGTGCATGTGTGTGTGTGTGTGCTTCGACGCATGGAGTCGTTCTTTGCATGGAAACATCTTCTTTAGCATGTATGTATGCACGAACTCATGCATGCATGTCTGCATCTGGCATGCAAGTGCACAAGTAAGAATGTAGGTAAGTAAGCATTTGTGTCCGGTGAGAGGTTTGACTGTATGTGAGTTGTGTATGACGATGTCTGTATGTACGTATGCATGAATTCATTCGCTGCATACCATTTACAATCTGTGCCTGTGCATGTGTCTATGGGCATCTGTGGGTATGTGCATGTGCATGAACGGTTGAACGGATGATTGTTTATGATGTGTGTGTGGAAGCATATATGTGTACCTATGACATGCACACTCATTGAACATGCACTAGCACACCCACACTGATACTTATGCATTAGTTAGAGGTTGGGAAGCCTGCATGGAGGACGGTGTTGTGAGGGGATGGTGTGATGCAGGGGATGGTCTCATCCCCGTCAGACCATGTCAGTGCTGATGCTGCAGCAGCTCTTGCACCACATATAGTATCTTATCCACGACGTAGGTTATGCTTTTGAGTGTTACTGTACGTTCCTATACCATAGACTTTAGCCACGAACATCTCACCCAGGGAGACGAATCTTCTCGTTGTCCCTTGGGATGACTCATGCTCGCATGTGCGCTGAAGTTACCAACTACAGCCCGTTTCTTCGTTACTATTATGTAGGTTGCCGTGGCCCTTTCCACGGGACTACCACTACTACCACTGCTACCATTACTAGCTCTACTACTAACTCACTACTACTTACTACTACATATGAATACTTACTACTACTTTTATTATTTACTAATAACTCACTCTTACTTGCTAGTGCAGCTACGACTACTACTACTACTACTACTACTACTACTACTACTACTGTTTTATACTACGAGTCTTATACTGCTACTACTACCATTATTACTGCAACTACTGCTGCTGCTGCTGCTACTACTTCTACTCCTGCCACTGCTACTACTACTACTACTACTACTACTACGACGACTACTACTACTACTACGATGA